GAGATACAAAGAGATTAAAATCCTTTGATTTTAATTTAATTTTTATTAAACGTTGTGTGATTGAACCGCAGCGTCGCAGCGGTGAGACCAGCACAGACGGGCAGCAGCGGGCGCATCCCGGATCGGTTCGCAGGGGCCGGCGCTTACCCTGGTTTCTCTCTCCCAGGCCCGGCTTTCCTGCGGGGGAGGGCGCGGAGGGCCTTCCTGCGTGAGGGCCGGCTGGCAGCGCTGATGTGGGAGGGCTGTCAGCAGCAGGCGGCCTCCCCGGCGCTGCAGGAGGCCCTGCTCAGCAAGATTGTGTGTTTGCCCGATCATGTCAGCAACAAATTCCAGGGGAAAAACCCACCAGTGTTCTTCCCCCAGAACTACTTCCCTCTTCTGGGTGATGCGATTATCCAGGTGCTGCAGAAGATCTCGGATTCTCTGAGAGGTAAGATCGCAGCAGGACTGCTGTAGAGACAGCTCTTCTGAAGGAGCGTTTTGTGCATGGACCCCCTTGGCTGGTGCTTCAAATACAGATAATGGGTATTGGAGAACCTCACGTTCATCCTTCATGATGAAATTCGTTGTACTTAAAAGGGTCAGATACGAGGAATGAGGAAGATGGCTGAGGCTTTTTAAAATAAAAAAAGCTGAAGCTGTTAAATAGCATCATCTGTTGCCAAAGCTTAATTGTGGTCGCTTGGTCTGTGCTGAAGTAATTGTGTGGAAGATTTAAACAGTACTGAATGAACCAGGGGTTTTGTTACCATTGTGTTAAAGTGGGACTAAGCTATTTTAGCCTTCTGACTCTCACTGTGTGTGAATAACACTAGGTGCCGTTTTGTGCTGAAGGCAGGTGGTGGAGGGAGGAAGAGATGATGCTTGAAGAGGAAAAGTTAATCTAAGTTTTCAGGCTTCAGTATTTGTAGAAGTGTACACGCCTCCTTCTGAAGGTTGTTTGGAGGATGCTGTTGATGCTCCTGTTAAGCTTGTGTCTGTTTTATCCCAGGTGGCTTGGATTGCTCAATCTCTTTTGTTTCTCATGTCCTGGGGAAGGGGTGCGTTCATGGGAGACAAAGTGAGTGTTTTACAATGCTATTTTGGGGAGTAAAACAATACTGGTTTACTGTATTAGAACGGAAGGATGACTATGATGATGATAAACAGAGGGAGTGGGAGGCTGACCAAATAATACTTTGGGAGTTTTGTGACTTGGACTGAACAGGCTGCTCTCTGCTTTCTGAGGCTACTTAACAGCATACCAGATGTCAAAGTTTTTCTGTCAGCTCAGGTATATCAGCTCAGGAATATGATCTCTTCTCCTCTGAAAACTGATGAGATTATTAGCCTTCTCATCCCACCATTTGGAGCATAACTATTAAATGTTCTTCTGGTGCTTTTCATCCAGTGGTCTGAAAGTGCCTTGTAAATACCAGCATAAATCACTGCTCATATGTAATAACCCTCTCATGATAGTAGCCTGCAGTCTGGCTTTACTCGGGACTTTGAAGCCAGTGAATGCAGAAGTAGTTAACAGGGCTGGAAGAGGAAAGATTTCTAACTGTTTGCTGTAGTGAGGAATACTTGTAAGTTCCTTAGGCTGCTTTTAGGTTTGTTCTTACCACAAGAACAATTTAGAGCTGCAAACTGTATGTTGTATTTCTTCATCTTCTGAGGATCTTGACATTTGCAGGCTGACCTTGAGTACCATTGCACCAGTTCTGGCCATCTGGTGTATTCACCTGTTTTCTCTTCCACTTCAGAAGAAATCCTGAGCGTTTTGATACCCCGCCTAACGGATCTCACTGAGTCAGACTGCATCTGGCAGAGAATATGCTGGCGACTGGTTGAATGTGTGCCAGACCGCTGGATGGAAGCAGTGGTCCTTGGTTTTGTGCAGAGAGCACCCGGGTAAGAAGTCTGCTTTCCTCCCTGATCTTGAGCAAATGCTGTAATTTTTTCACAAATACTTGCAGAATCAGTTTCTGAAAGATGCTGATGTATGTATGTTTGTGTAGCTGGATTTTCACAGTGTCATTTCTTGAAAGACTCTAGGGGTAAAGTACCTGATTGTTGCTTCTCAGGTAGAACCTGCACCATTCCTTGAAGATCTGTGGTGACATGCAGTGGAAAAACAAGTGAAAACATTCTTTGCAATTACTGACTCACTCTTACATTTAGAGGTGTTTTAGAGACTTTGTTGCAAATAGCTGATCACAGAATTTCCTATCATTAGTAGCAGCATGACAGTAATTACCTGGATTCCTAATGTTTTGCTATTGACCTGTCTTGCTAGGGCAGATGTCTTGTCTAGGTTGCTGGGGAACCTGGTTGTGAAAAACAAGAAAGCTCAGTTTGTGGTGACACAGAAGCTGCTGCTCTTGCAGTATGGCCACACGGTAAGGACTCTGCGTTGAACAGTGGTGGAGTAATGCCTGTTTTTCCCAAGTGCCAGTGTGTTTTTTAGCTGAGCTCCAGGTAGTCTTGAGTAAGAATTAACTCTTCATTCTGAAATCAGCCCTTGGTCTCTCCACATGTACCTGAGCTGCACAGCTTTCACTCACATCCCCTCAGAAGAGACTGAAGGAGCCATGACCCACTCTCAGGGATAAGAATTAGATTGAAGAGATGAGACAAGAACTGAGATTTTTTTTTTTTTCCTGTGCACCTAAGTATGTTACAGGTGATAGGAAGTGTTCTGTGTCTTGTGGTGTCGTTGTGAGGGATGTTCTCTAGACTTTGTGATCCGTGTTTGCCTGAGACTGTGCTGATCTGGTTTTGATGGTAGAAATACTGTACTGTATTCCTGTTCTGTTTTTCCTTGTATTTCATCAGCAATGGCATGTGTGTGTTTGGTTGGGTTTTTTAAAATTTGCTTACTTTTTTTTTCACTGAATGTTGTCAACCAGTTCTTCAGAATGAAAAGTTTAACATAGTAAAAATACACACTTGTCATTGCTGGATGACAGCTTCATGCCCAGTTAAAGCAAGATTTGTGGTTTCCATTGCAGACTGCAGTGCTACAGAACCTCCTTGGCTACCTGTCCCTGGATGGCCTTCGGCGTGCCTTATTGATCAAAGTAAGGTTCAGTAATGTTGGTGAGGTATCTGATGGAAAAAATTCTACTGTGCAAGTGTGTGTGTATGTGTGTCTGTAGGGTACACAGTTTTGGTCTTTCTCTAAGACACTTCTGTATTCATGAGACAAGACCTACCATATCACAAGTAAGTCATGATATACGGATTGAAGACTTTCTGCACTGCTGGCATTTGTTTTTCATATTTATTTGGTAAATTGTCTTCCAAGTAGCAAAACTAATAAGGATTAGATTCTGACAGATGTCCCATGTCCTCTGTCCTTCTCAGCTTCCTCTGTCATCCTCTATTTGTGTGGCTGGGCAGATGGCAGCAAGTGATGAAGTTGATTGAGAGCTGTCTGTATGCCACATAGTTTATGCTTCAGAACATCTCATCTAACTTTTCCTCAGTGGGGATGCAGATATTTTCCCTCTCCAAGTCAGCAGTGTGATGGAACTTCTAGGAAATCTGTATCTCTGGAAATCTACCATTTTCCACTGGTTACTTTTTTTTTTTTTTTTTTTTAGGCTTTTTTTTTTTTTTTTTTTTTTTGCACTGGTTACACGTTGTATTATTCTAATTATCTGGAAGTACTGGCAGCTATATAAAATTGGACAAAAAAACATACAATATCATACTGGCTTTTGACAATAATACATATTGCTCTGCATATTATATTTATCACATTAAAATTTAAAAAACCTCCCATTATATTTAACAATATGGAAGTGGTGTGGAGTTCTTGGTTGGTATGTTTTGGGCCCTGAAATACAAAGTTAGCTCTGTTTGTAGGGAGTGTAAAGTTCCCTGGGAAGCATGAAAACCAAAGGGCCATCAGAATATACAATGTGCTGTAGGAAAGCACATTTCAAAGATGTGCTTCAAAAATGTGCTTTTCTACTTGTGTGTAGAAAACATCCATTTCAAGCCAACTTGACTTCTCTGATTCAGGTGGTGCAAGAACTGTTGGAGACCTGGGGCAGCAGCAGTGCTGTGAAACACTCTCCCCCTGAGCAGCAGCAGTATATTAGCAAGGCCATCCTTATCTGCCTCTCGCACCTGAAGGAGCCTGAAATCCAGAGCTGCAGACAAGGTGAGGCAGTGGGAGAAGAGGGATTGGGTTTGTTTAACAGAAGGTCTGATGTTGAGTAGAAAAACATCTTGTTTTGATCTATGGATGAACACAATTGTCCCATCTTCATCTTGGCAAATGGGGTAGCCTGCTGGAATCCTCTTTTGTTAGCACTGATATGGTATAATTCTGAGTCCATAGCTTTAAAGCTGTTTGGTTTGGCCTCTGCTGATCCATGTGCATTTCTCTGTGTCATTCTGCTCCCCTCAGCATGAGGTGAGTAGGGTTAGTGAGTTACCAGCAAGGACCTCCTATTCTGTATTCCTATAGTGTGTAGCACATTGGGGTCTTGGTCTAAAATTTATTTTTCTGTTGCAATTAAAAAAAAAAAAAAATCTGTCTTTTGTGGGGGAAGAAGGTTGATTTACAAGACCTGTTCATCCGTTTCATTCTAATTCCCTAGGTGAATAAGTGACCTCTTATTTATTCACAGTACTGTAGTTTTATAATCTGTTTTTTATCTGACAGCTGTTGTAAAGATAAGCTTTTCTGAGTTGAAGGAGGTCAGTCTAACAGCAGTAAGCCTACCTGGTAAAGCATCGTTCTCTGTGGACTGAGAAATACTGGTGTTATCTGCCTGTTTCAGTTTATCTAGGTGCTGAGGGAAATTTCTTACTCCATGATTGTTGTACTGGTCAGAATTTGTAGCTTCCTCAAAACATGAGATTTCACTTAAGTGGCTTCGAAGCACTCTGAAAACAAGCTAAAGATTGACTTGACTTACCATCCTTTTTTGTTTCAGTGAAAACCAAAATATTCCAAGTTTAGGATATATTGTAACATTCTTTTGACTTTATATCTCATTAAAAAAAGATTATTATATTGGTGCATTGCAGAAAGAGAAGTCACGGTTGCCTGGGCCCTTCCTGTCTTTCTACCCATTATTGGGTGGTGAATGGCTAAAGATGCCCTCTCGGGAAACCCACTTAAAGATGGATGTTTGTTTCTGTAATTGTTTCATCTACTGTTTGGTTTGGGTTTTGTTTTGTTTTTTTTTTTTTTCAGAGCTTCTCACAAGCATGATGGAGGGTGTGAAATGCCACTTGGACAGCAATCTGCCACAAATACGGCGTCTGGGGATGATTGTGGCAGAGAGCATTAGTTTGAAAATAAACACTGATGGGCCTGTCCTGAAGTTTCAGGTGAAGGTTAAAATTACATTTAATCTCTGGTGTGCAGGGCTTAGAGGAAATAAAAGCTTTAAACCAGATGATCCAGGGCATTATAGCAAGTTATAACACTAATTATCTGGAAATAAGGAAAGGCAGCAACACTTTCAAAAAGAGAGGATATCTGTTTACAAAAACAGTTGTATAGAAAATAACCAGGTGGCTGAGAGTGACCTTAAGAGTGTAATCTGATGACAAAGTTCAGGGTAAACAGACGATGATAAAGGACTGCTGCAGGGTTATTTTATTGTCTGAGGGAATCAGAATCTGACCCATAGAAGTTGAGAGGGTACTTCAAACCTAAACCAGTGGTGAACGTTCAGTCCCTGACATGGTGGGAAGACCTGCTCCAAGTTGAGATTTTAAAGATTGACATGGGGATATATGCTCCGCTATTTCCAGTAGAGTTTTTAAGAATTATGTGATTAAATCACATTAATTCTTTAAAAGCCTGTATCATCCTTCATGTCACATTGCCATTTATTAAATGTTTTCAAGATTGTAAATAACATTCAGGCAAAGTCTGATCAGGTACTATTGTTAAATATAGGGACAAGGATTACATATGGCACAGATCACTGTACACCATAAATACATTACTGCTGGCAGCTCAGTGATTGAAATAAATGGGATTTGTGGGGGTGCATCTGCTCGTGATTCAGTCTTCATTTGCACACAGTACAAGGGTCAAATGTTGAATGTTGGGCATATTTGCAGTCAGAGTGCCTAACAGTTATTCTGAATGTCTAGTATGAAGAAGATGATGAAACAAGAGCATTGAAGTCCCTTCTGGTGCAGACTCCACCATTCTGTGTTGTCCCCAGCCTTCCAGATGATGAGTAAGACATTTCTGTTATTTGTCTCTGTGCCATCTTTTTGCTCTTTTCCATACCTTTTTCTGAGTTACACACTAGAACTGTAGACAGTATTCAAGATGTCTTACATATTCTTAAGCATTATAATGCACCTTATTCTCACAGTGCAGTGTAGTTCTGTTAAATTCATAATTCCAATGATAGTATGTATTAAAATTGCTTGTTTGATAGCTCCATGTGATGAAACTATGTTTTGGCTTCTAGGGATCTGATGTTCCCTGGGGTAAATCAAATGGGCCTTTCTGTTTGCATCTGGGAAATCTGGCATTTGGGCCTTATGCCCCCCGCCCATTCATCAGTAACAAAAATCTAGCATGTCTGTCAGTATAAAGACTGGTTCTTCAGTGCTCTTAACTTCATAGCATCTGCTGAGGCTCTTTGAAGCACTTAGTTTTATTAGCAGATCAATGAAGCACTTCATATTATTAGCAAATGAAGCAGTCCAGCACTCCAGTGAAGTACAGAGGATTTATTGCTCCCAATTTAGGGGCATAATCAGCACAGACAGCATTTGAGAAGCAGAGAGGGGAAAGGACATGCCAAAGTCCACAGAAATAGGTACAGAGACAATATTGTATTCATCCCACTGGCGATGATTAAAAAAATGTTTCTTCTCCATTTGTCCGTTTTCATTCATAGCTTCAAATACCACGCAGGCAACTGTGATCCAGTCATCACAGATGGCAGTCCTAGGTACAAGTTAGTGCAGGGGGAACAGAGAAAATGAGCTACCTTAATTTCTGTTATCCATTGCTCTTCTGTTAAGAGATTCTGCTTCTCTTCTCCCCTCACCCCATTCTCCTTCCCAGGACTTTGTTCCTTGTGTAGGCCAAGTTAGGTGGGAGACCGCAGCAGAAATTATTATCAGCAAGGGTTGATGGTGTGGGTAGTTTCTTGCTTGTGAATAGTGACTGCTACTTTATTGGTTTTAATACTTGTTC